GGGTCTAATATAGAGCTAGCAAAGATTTGGGGGGTCTAATATGACAAAAACCCATATATATTTTTTTAAATATGTCCAAAAGTGGTATATATGATATCATTTCCATATCTTGTGAATTTTTTTACCAATTCTGATGTTTCTTTTTTATATTACAATTACTGTTGTTTCTTATATTTCTTTTTCTTCCTTTATCTCTGCAGGTGGATGTTTATGGATACAGATTCCTGACATTCATCTTAGAGTGGACAGGACGGCATTCCCTGAGCATTTTTGTACTTGTAACATCTAACATTGCTATTATTTTCATACAAGGGTTTTACTGGAAAGACCCTAAAGTTAACATTGTAAGTCTTAACTTCCATTCATTGTTTTCAGAATATGCCTCGAGTTTGTTCAAAATTTTTGAACTGCTAAGTGCCTTTACAAGTTTACCTTGGTGGCTTCTGGATTATATCTTAAACGATGAAATTTACCTTTAAATAACTTTCTAATTTAGAAACCTTGATAAATGAACCATGTAAACCGTTAAGCTTGTTTATAAAAATGACATTTATAACTTGATGGCACTTGCAGGCACCTTGTTAACAGCTATATACATCTAGTTACAAAATTCTTTTCTTTTATTAAGAATCCTCCTTTCTATTCGTGTTTACTTATTTCACAACTCATAGTCCCTGCATCTGTGCCTGATAAAATAATCTAGATATGGAGTTTGAAGGTTTAGTATCTTTGTCAATCATGTAATTAGAAGCTCACCCCCTTCGACATGCTACACACATTGTGGCAAGAATTAGCATGGTAGCTAGATAGGTTTGCAAAACCTACGCATCTATAGTTTGATTCTGCACCGTAAAATCAGAGTGGAAATAACCCGAAGTACTGGATCTGCTTGATTGTAAATTATGTTAAAAAAGGAATGATGGCTGCATTATGTAATGAATCTAGCACGCAAAACATTTTAATCAACAGAACTTGCAGTTGACATTGGTATAACGAACATAATGTTATTGTTCTTGATAGGATAGAAAGAATTATATCTGCATGCTCAGAAGATGATGAATTTCCTTGTAAATAACACCTTCACATGATTGTCTTTTAGGACATTTTGGGTAAAATAATCTTTTGGCACGATAAGCCAACTTGAGCTTTTGGGTTATTATAAGCAGAAAAAAAAAACTCTTAATATCCTGTCATTACACACAAGACTGAAGTTTTGATGACGATTAAGTGATATGTGTTATCCAATAATGCAACATTTGTTAGTTTTTGCTTGAAATGACCAACCTGACTGGATTTGAACATGGATGGCTCTAATAATATCTTTTCTAGTACTTCAGTTCAAATTCATATCCTCCTACTGCTCATTATTTTTGCCAAATAGTAGTTGTTGATGTTGGGTGCTCTTTTTCATCTGCATCCTATATCTCTTTGTGCCCCGTTTTTGTTTTGCGGGGCGTAAATATTACAATTCTTTCTATCTTATTTCAGGTTCATTGGATGATATCGCTCTTTGTACAAAATTAAACAGTTTCCTTTTAAGTGGTATGTATCTTTCATTTTCTCTGTGATTTTTTGGGGTGCTTCCTTCCCTCTTTTAAGTTTTATATGTCACGTTTGCATGTTTCAGAGGATCGCACCTGACTCCCGGTACGGAGCATGTTCATATGCGGCCTTGTATTAGGGTATGAGAGAGCATCTCCTGTTTTTATCCGCATCTTCTTGTTGTAAAAGCCACAAACACGCTGTAATTTTTGTAATTTTCCGAGCTAATATTCGGCATCGACAAAATCTGCCATAACGCAGTTCGACTTATTAATTCCGAGCGCTTGTTTGTATC